ACTCACAGATTCTGTAGCTCCCCCAAATTTTTAAATAGCATATTCAAACTCCACATTAATATGTTATTAATTTACATTCTTAAAGTTCCGTCAATCCACAAACACTTCTGTTTTCTTCAGATGAAGTTTCACCTGTGTTGCCCAGTCAGGCTGGAGTGCAATGTACGATCTTGGCTCACCACAACCTCTGCCTTCTGGGTTCAAGAGATTCTCCTGCCTCAGCTTCCTGAGGAGTTTGAATTACAGGCATGTACCACCATGTCTGGCTAATTTTGTATTTTTAGTAGAGACGGGGTTTTTTCATGTTGGCCAGGCTGGTCTTGAACTCCCAACCTCAGGTGATCCACCCACCTTAGCCTCCCAAAGTGCTGGGATTACAGGTGTGAGCCACCGTGCCCAGTCTATAAGCACTTTATGAGAAGGGTTTTCACTATATGTTTCTAGGGTATTGTGTCAGTCTGTTTTCACACTGCTATAAATAAATACTTGAGACTGGGTAATTTATAAAGAAAAGAGTTGTATTGACACACAGTTCTGCAGACTGTATAGGATGCATGGCTTGGAGGCCTCAGGAAACTTACAATTATGGCAGAAAGTGAAGGGAAAGCAGGCACATTTCACATGGCCACAGTAGGAGGAAGACAGAGCGGGAGAGGTGCTACACACTTTTAAACAACCAGATCTCGTGATAACTCGCTCTCGTCATGACAGTTCCAAGGGGGATGATGTTAAACCATGAGAAACCACCCCCATGATTCAATCACCTCCCACCAGGTCCCAACTCCAACACTGAGGATTGTAATTAGACATGAGACTTGGGTGGGGACACAGGACCAAACCATATCATTTTGCCTTTGGCCTCTTCCAAATCTTATGTCCTTCTCACATTGCAAAATACAATCATGCCTTTTCAACATTTCCCCAAAGTCTTAACTCATTCCAGCATCAGCTGAAAAGTTCACAGTCCGAAGTCTCATCTGAGATAAGGCTATATAAGCCTTGTCTCATGAACCTATGCGCCTGTAAAATCAACACAAGTTAGTAACTTCCAAGATAGAATGGGGGTATAGGCATTGGGTAAATACTCCTGTTCCAAAAGAAATAAAATGGCCAGAGGAAAGGGGCTACAGGTCTCCTGTGGCTGCTTTAACAGGTTGGCACTGTGTGCCTGCAGCTTTTCCATATACATAGTGCAAGCTGTTGGTGGATCTACCATTCTAGGGTCTGGAGGACAATGGCACTCTTCTCACAGCTCTACTAGACAGTGTCCCAGTGGGGATTCTATGTGGGAGCTCCAACCCCATGTTTCCCCTCCACATTGCCCTAGTAGAGGTTCTCCATGAGGGCTCCATTCTTGCAGCATGCTTCTGCCTGGACATCCATGCTTTTTCATACATCTTCTGAAATCTAGATGGAGGCTCCCAAACCTCAACCTTTGCACTCTGCGCACCTGCAGGCTTAACACTACATGGAAGCTACCAAGGCTTATGGTTTGCACCATCTGGAGCAGCACCCCAAGCTTTATCTGGGGCCCTTTGAGACATGGCTAGTGCTAGAGATGCCAAGATGCAGACTGCCATGTCCCATGGCTGCACAGAGCAGAAGGGCCCCAGACCTGGCCCACAAAACCATTCTTCCCTCCTAGGCCTTAAGCATTGTGATAGTGGAGGCTCCTTAGGACACCTCTGAAATGCCTCTGAGTACTTTTTTTCATTGTCTTGGCTATTAGCAATTGACTCCTTTTTACTTATGCAAGTTTCTGCAGCTTGCTTGAATTCCAACCCTGAAAATGGGTTTTTCTTTTCTACTACATGGCCAGGATACAAATTTCCTAAATTTGTGTGCTCTGCTTCCCTTTTAAAGATAAGTTCAAGTTTCAAGTCACTTCTTTGCTCATGCACATGAGCACAGGCTTTCAAAAGCAGCCAGGTCAGATCTTGAACACTTTGATGTTTAGAAATTTCTTCTGCCAGATACCGTAAATCATCTCTCTCAAGTTCAAAGTTCCACAGATCCCTAGAGCAGGGTACAGTGTGCCAGTCTCTTTGCTGAAGCACAACAAAAGTGACCTTTAATCCAGCTCCCAATAAGCTCCAGTTCCCAACAAGCTCCTCACTTCCATCTGTGACCTCCTCAGCCTCTTTTTCACTGTCCATATTGCCATCAGTATTTTGGTCACACACATTCAACAAGTCTCTAGGAAGTTTCAAACTTTCCCTCATCTTGCTATCTTCTTCTGGGCCCTCCAAACTGTTGCACCAGTTCCAAAAAGCTGCTTCCTCATTTTCAGATACCTTTATATCAATACCCTACTTCTGGTACCAATTTTCAGTATCAGTCTATTCTTGCACTGCTATAAATGAATACCTGAGACTGGGTAATTTATTTAAAAAAAAAAAAAAGAGGTTTGGCCGGGCGCGGTGGCTCAAGCCTATAATCCCAGCACTTTGGGAGGCCGAGGTGGGTGGATCACGAGGTCAAGAGATCGAGACCATCCTGGTCAACACGGTGAAACCCCGTCTCTATTAAAAATACAAAAAATTAGCTGGGCATGGTGGCGAGTGTAATCCCAGCTACTCAGGAGGCTGAGGCAGGAGAATTGCCTGAACCCAGAAGGCGGAGGTTGTGGTGAGCCGAGATTGCGCCATTACACTCCAGCCTGGGTAACAAGAGTGAAACTCCTTCCCAAAAAAAAAAGAGGTTTAATTGGCTCATTACAAACTGTCCCCATGATCCACTCATCTCCCACCAGCCCCACCTCCAACACTGGGTTTACAATTTGGCATGAGATTTGGGTGGAGACACAGATCCAAACCATATCAGGTATACTCCAATATCAAAGATCTCATTGGAGCGCTAGCATCAGAAACAAATGTTGTGGGGGATGCAAATCTATTTCCTTCCCTTATTTCCGCCTTCTCCATCCCCTGAAGATCATGGAAAAGACTAGTGCCTAATCAGGAGAAAGAAAGTTCAAAAGTTTGAGAAACACAAAAACAATAGCCTCCTAGCACACACTGTTGGTGCTCCACCCATATCACCTTGACTTTCACCTCCACACACCTGGGGCTGCTTGCTGTCAACAATTCCTGAATACTTTTTTACCACACCTGTGCATAGGAGAGGTCAGATAGACCATAGAATTAAAGCCCTAGGGAATCACCCATCATTCCATAACAGATGAAAATGTTATTGGTGGGTAAATTTCCCATCTGGCTAGCCCCTCATTTGGCTGAGGCAAATGTACCTCTGAGGTATGTTGTACACTGTCTTCCTGAGCTCCCCAGCAGGATTGAAATCCAGCTGCCCACCATGGTAACTTGCTCAGTAATGCACTTTTTTATTGGCTTCCATCCCTTTCCTGTCTCACTTCTTTATGGCCCCACTCATGCTTTCCATGGTCGCCCCCTAAATAAACTACTTCCATATACCTGTAATTTTTTTTTGCCTCTGATAAATTTTTGCCTCTGGTAAAACCCAGACCAAGATATTCTCTAAATAATAATATATCTCAAAGATGTTATGCCCTTACTCTGAACTTGGTAAAAGTATAATAAACTCAGATATACAAGGAGATCACTACCCCAGGCACACAGAATGTTAGAATACTGCAACATCCAAGAAGACTTACACAGTTAAGTCTTGGAGTTGGAAAGGATACAAATGGAATTCAGTTTGACCTCCCATTCAGAATTAGAGTCACTCATTCTAAAGATCCCTGACCAGTGATTACCTCAAGCCCCTGTTCAAATACTGTGAAATGCAACAGAATACCCAAAGAAACCAAACTCTTCACGTTTAAGTGCCAGTCTTGGGTCGACTGTGGTAGACTCTGGAAAGAATAAAGAGAATAAAAAATATCCCAAAAGCATGGGTGGTTATTGGGAAAGAACAATTTTGACTGTCATATACTAGAATACCAGTAAGAATAGACATTGATAAACATTCCTAAGCCATTAAACCAATCTTTAACTCATCTGTTTCTTTGGCATTGAATTCCAAAAGATTTTCTTCTGTAGTTTCTAACCCACACACATTTTCCGTAAATAGGAGATTTCTTTCTCTCTCTCTGCCTGTCTCTCTCTCTCTGAATGAACATCTCTTGACAGCTATCCAGTGGACCCTGCTGACACTCAGTAAATGGTAAACAGTTTTCACAGCACATGTCCACTCCTAGTCACATAAACCTCATCAACGACTCCTTATCACAGAGTCTCACCCACTGTGTAAACAAAGAAAGGCTAAGAAGTAGTGTGAATACTCAACTTATTGCCAAAAACAGGAGCTGCTCATACAAATTGCAGCAGCAAACCCAGCCTTTCACAGAGGATGCTAGGACACTGATCTGTTTGCCATTCTTCTCTTCTCCCCTGCCCTGTACTATTCTCAGAACCACTGAACATTTTCAAGGCATATTAACATGAAAGTTATTAAATGGTGAGAAACTAACCAGTCTAGGGAGTCACAGAGGCCAGCCACAAAAGTTCAGAAGCCGAGAGCAGTCGACTGCCGTGAGCTGTATGCATGTGAATGAGGAGGCGATGTGATAGGAAGAACATGTATTTTGGAGTCTGTTGAGATTTGAATTTCAGTCACCAGGTATGTGAGCTGAGGCACTTAGGCTCTTTTAACTTCAGTTGCTTCAGAAAAATGAAAATGATACTGACATTTCAAAGATTCTTTTGGGGAGTAAACAAGGTAAATATGTAAATTTGCTTAGTAAAATATCCAATTATAAGGCAATGTATCAATGGTACATATTCTTGCCTTTTCATGCTGCTATACTAGATTTGGTAACAACAATACCCCGCTGCTATTTGAATGACCAAATCTGAATTTGGTAAGCTTAGTCAATCCAAAGTAGTTTCTTACCAATGTTAAGACTATGACTTGTAGACCACTTACTGCATGCCAGACACTCTGTTAAGCTCTCTTCATCATCACCTCATTTAATTCTTGAAATAGATCTATGAGATGAGATACTTTTTCTGTTTTTACAGGCGAGAAGTATGGGATCTCCTGTAAGTATATCTGGGAACCAGGACATGGACAAAGAAGAGGACAAAGGAAAAGCAGAGGGAGGCCTTGGCCAGAGGCAGCCTGAAAGGCCAAACTCTATACTCCAAAGGTCTAATTGAAGAGTCTATCTGAAGAATGAGTAGGCAGCACAATGGGTTAAGCTGTTAGATGTGTTCTGTCAAAGGAAAAACTCTGCTCATGAAAAATCTAGTTGCAAGGAGCCCGAGACTCAACAAAAAGTGGCGTAAGTAGCATGGAGTTTATGATCTCACTTAACACCAAGTCCAGAGATGGAGTGGCTCCATGGCTCATTAGACTGTGTGACTATGTCATCAGGGGCCCAGGTGTTTTACATTCTTCTGTTCTGCCATTCTCAAAATGTCTACAGCCCCCTCTCCCACCAATCCATTGCCCGATTGCTGGATAGTTGTAATAGTTTCTAGAATTTCATGCAAAAAAATCCACACCCAACAAAGAAGAGTGCATTTCCTTCCAGGTGTCTGTCTTTGATTTTTATGAAGAAAAACTCGCTGGAATTCCTTAGAGGATTATCCCTTAGGTTGCATTTGTTAGGACTGAGTTACATGAGCATGCCCAAATCAATCCACAGCAAGTTTGGAGGAATTAGTATAGTTGGCTTAGACTAACCAAGATCACCTTCTGGGAGCAGAAAGAGGGTTTTTTTCCTCCCTCTGCCACCTGAGGGAGGGGAACCTAGATAAACACAAAGGCTCCACTTGCAGCCAAGAAGTGTGTGTGTGCACATGCAAATATGAGCTTTGTAGAGCAAATGACAGTGTCTGCCCCAAGGAAGCTGCTTGCCATATCTCCCCGGAAAGCAATGAGAAGAGGGAAAATTTTCTTGGAATTATGTAAATAAAAATTAGGCTGCACTGAATGCTCCAAGCCAGTGGTGTCTCATCTCTCCCTGAGCATTTTCATTTTGCTGCTTATTCATCTGTTTTGCCTGGAACCTACTCTCTGCCTGGTCTGAATCAGGCCTGGCTCCAATGCCACCTCCCTTATGACCACTGTAACCTCTCACCAGTTCCTATAGCCAGTCCTTAGAGCCCTTGTTCTCCAGACCTTCATTTCCTGAACTGATCATGGAACTTTCTGCCTACATTTTTTTTAAAGAACTACCTGTTGACACAATAGAACCCAGTTTAAGAAATGCTAATGTAAACAATTCATTCAGCAAGAATAATTATTTAATAGAAAAGCAAAGCCACAAAGGCCATTTTGGAAATGGAGCATGCCCTCCTAAATATTCCTGGTTTTCTTTTTATTTGCTTTTTTTTTTTTTTCAGTTCCTACCTGAAAAGCTGTTCTCTGTCTTCCCTCTGACACCAGAAAAGCAAAACCCTGCTGGCTGTTTCCCAGGGGTGTATCCCTGTGACCATCTCCAGTGACACCACTCCCTTGGCAGGCACTACACATGATGGAGCCCGTCCTTTCTTATTCGGATGGTGGCAGGGGTGGGTGGATCAACTTAATATTAAACAGGGCTACCTCTAGTCCTGAAATGAATGATGGCAAAGAGCCCAGCATTAAAGACATAAATAAGCTGCAGGTTTTCAGAAACTTGCCAGTAACCCTCTGAAACAGGAAGAGGATACTTAGGGCTGTCCTGCTAACTCTCAACTGTGGGCCTTATGCTCAGGTCTGAGGCTCCCTGGATGCTAAACCTCCAGCCTTGGAGCTGACTCCAAGTGCATCACGCTAAGAAGCTGCCTGAGATTCTGGAGAGGGCTGATGGGCAAAATCCCAAGATAACCCCTCCATTTGCAGGAGCAGAAGCGGGTTATAAATGTCATTCCTTTTCTTGGAGATGTGATATCTGACTCCATTAGACTTCCAGGGGAGCTAAAAACAAACAAACAGAAAATGAATGGGCTTAGGATAATGGATGAGGATCAGGACGGCCACTTTGGTGTTGTTGGGTAGCTGTTCCCAGGCACCCTGTGTTCCGGGGCCCAATCTTGGCTGGGACTTAGAACTATTCTGTTCAAATGTGGAAGGAACTGGAAGAGTGTTTTCAACTCTGCTGCTTTCAAAATAGGCTTTTGTGTTTCTCAAGTCAGAGCCTTCAGTTGTGCAGTTGTGGATGTGAAGCCATTATGAATAAATATAACAAATACAGGAGAGGATGTGGAGAAATAGGAACACTGTTACACTGTTGGTAGGAGTGTAAATTAGTTCAACCATTGTGAAAGATGGTGTGGCGATTCCTCAAGGACCTAGACACAGAAATTCCATTTGACCCAGCAATCTCATTACTGGGTACATACCCAAAGGATTATAAATCATTCTGTTATAAAGACACATGCACATGTATGTTCATTGCGGCACTGTTTATGATAGCAAAGACCTGGAAGCAGCCGAAGTGCCCATCAATGATAGACTGGACAAACACAATGTGGCACATATACACCATGGAATACTATGCAGCCATAAAAAACAATGAGTTCATGTCCTTTGTAGAGACACGGATGAACCTGGAAACCATCGTTTTCAGCAAACTGACACAAGAACAGAAAATCAAACACCGCATATTCTCACTCATAGGTGAGTGTTGAACAATGAGAACACATGGACACAGGGAGGGGAGCATCACACACTGGGATCTGTTGTAGGGGGCTAGGGGAGGGACAGAGTGGGGTGGGGAGGGATAACATGAGGAGAAATGCCAGATATAGGTGATGGGGGGATGGAGGCAGCAAACCACCTTGCATGTCTGTACCTATGCAACAATCCTGCATGATCTGCACATGTACCCCAGAACCTAAAGTACAAAAAGAAAAATACAATTAAAACAAAATCTTCATATGAAAACAAATGGTAAACAGTTAAGGACCAGCTGATGGCCTGCTCACATCAAGCAGTCTTTGATACCTTCAAAGTTCCTGTCCAATAGAAGGTTGGGGATCATCCCTTGAAGTTTGTGGTCATGAGAATCAAGTGTAGGACCTAGAACTCTAAATTTTATCATCCAATGGGAAAGTATTTATCAAGTCCTATGTGCTCAATCACAAAAGAAGTGTCTCCTATTTTTTTTCAAAAGCTTAAAATCACCACAAACACACGAGAAGTTAAGTAATCTCAATAACAGAACAAGAGCTCATGAGAAGACTCAAGGCATTATGTGAGAAATTACAATGCACATGTGTTAAGATGTTCATAGATACTTACAATTGCAGTGAGGTATCAGTGAAGGCTTTTGAGAGGAGGTGGGACTTGATCTGGGGCTTACGTGTTGAAGGCTCTGGATAGATGAAGGGGGAGAGAAGGGAGGGATATTAAAAAAACTGTAAGGAACGGTCATGTGTGATTAGCATTGCTTCATATGTGAGTGTTCATTTATTCATGTGCTCATCCGCTTCTAATCGCCTGCCTGAAAATCACTATCATCATGATCTCCATTTCCTTGATGTTCTAAAAGTTAATTTTTTAAACAGCTTTATTGAGGTGTAACCAAAATACAATAAGTTGCACACATTTAAAGTATATAATTTGACAAGTTTTGGCCAGGCATGGTGGCTCACACCTGTAATCTCAGCACCTTGAGAGGCCAAGATGAGAGGATCATTTGAACCCAGGAGTTCAAGACCAGCCTGGGTAACAAAGGGAAACCTTGTCTCTACAAAAATTTTAAAAATTAGCCAGGCATGTTAGTGCGCGCCTGTGGGCCTAGCTACTGGGGAGGTTGAAGTAGGAGGATTACTTGAGTCTGGGAGGTCAAGCCTGCAGTGAGCTGTGATCTTGCCATAGTACTCCAGCCTGGGCAACAGAGAGAGACTTTGTCTCCAAAAAAATGAAGTAAAATAGTGTGTAATATGGTAAGTTTTGACATATGTGTACAACTCTGAAACCATTACTATAGTCAGTATAGTGAACAGATCTGTCGTCCCTGAAAAGTTCTAATATTCTTTTCAAAAAGCAAAGCTAGATATGTGGCTTCAAGACACTCTCTATTTGGATTCTAAAAACCAATTCCTCTACCTTCTCTGACATGAGAGCCCCTTCCGCTTCCTCCACAACGTAGATTTTATGTTTTAATAATAATCATAAGAGCTATCCTTTACTGAGGACATCCTGGAATTTTGCTTATTTCTTTATTATTCCTAAAGATAATCCCAGTGAGGTGCATACTAACTTTTCCCATTTCAGAGAAAGAGAAAGTAAGCCTTAACAAGGTCAGGTGCTTGCCAGGTCTCACAGTCAGTAGACAGCAGAGCCATGGTTCTATCTCAAGTCAGTGTGCCTCTGAGGCATAAACTCTTATGTATCTACCCTGAGACCTTTATAAACCTTTTCTAGGACAGAAGAGCCTGCCTACGTGGGACACGGGAAGGAGAAAATTGAGAATTAGATCTATAATCATTGACTCCTGACCATGAATCATCCAGTGAAGTCAGGTTGGCTCATTCGGCTTTCAGAGGTTAGATCCTAGCAATGTACATTCCTATCAACAGTATACAAGGGGTCCCTTTTGTTCACATCCTTGCCAACATGTGTGATCTTTTGTCTTTCTGTTAGAAACAGTCATTCTAACAGTTGTGAGGTGATATCTCAGTGTGTGTGTGTGTGTGTGTGTGTGTGTGTGTGTGCGCGCGCGCGTGCGCGCACGTGCACGTGTGTGTTTTAGAGACAGTCTTGCTATTTCACCTAGACTGGAGTACAGTGGTGCGATCTAGGCTCACTGCAGCCTCTACCTCCCAGATTCAAGCAATTCTTGTGCTTCAGCTGCCCAGGTAGCTGGGACTACAGCCTGGCTAATTTTTGTATATATTTTTTATTTTTAGTAGAGACAGGGTTACACCATATTGACTAGGCTGGTCTTGAACTCCTGGCCTCAAGTTATCTCTGTCTTGGCCTCCCAAAGTGCCTTGATTACAGGTGTGAGCCACCAACCCTGATCTTCATTGTGAAGGTTTACATTTCTTAGATGATTAATCTGTCCTCTCATATTCATTGTAGCATTATTCCCAACAGCCAAGATGTAGAAGCAACCTAAATATCTCGATGAATGAATAAAGAAAATGTGATGTGGGGTGTATGTGCGTGCGTGCGTGCATGTGTGTGTACACAATGGAATATCGCTCAACCTTTAAAAAGAAAATCCTGTCATTTGTAACAACATGGATGAACCTGAAGGACATTATGCTAAGTGAAATAAACCAGATGCAGAAAAACAGATATTTCATGATCTCACTCATATGTGAAATCTAAAATAGTCAAATTCATAGAAGTAGGTAGTATAATGGTGGCTACCAGGAGGTGGGGCTTTTCAGTTATATCTCAATGAAGTTGGGGAAAAAAAGTTATGGCTTATTCCCTTCTGCTTCCTGTAATACAGCTTCAGTGGTCCTGAGTGAGGATAGTGGGAAGGTTCCTCGGTGCACTGCTACCCTGTGACTCCAATTAGTCACCCATCCTTTTTCTGAAACTCAAACAAGACCCGTTACACCTGGCAGAAGAAACACTTC